GTCCACATCCTGTTTTACTTCAACATTGAGATGCCATATTGGTTTCCATAACTTTCAAGGGTGGGATGTTTTTGTTTGCATCTCTTCACCCCCGTTAATCACAATCTTTAAAAAAAAAAATTCTAACCCAAAATCTATGTGCTAGGGTAGCAGACATATTTAAGTTCTTTAACCATTTCCTTCTATTAAATTTCCTTCTATTAAATTCAATATATACCCTATATTTACGTTTCTCTAAGTTCTCAAGTCATGACTTTGAAATTAAAACATACCTAAAAAGCTATGGCTAGCAAAAGATGGCAAGTGGCATCAAGAGTGGAGAAAAAAGGGAGACAGTGATTTTTTTGGAAACAGAGGAACAGTAGGATATCGGGGGGACAAGAAAAGGACAAGAGGTGGTAGCAAGAGTAAGAGATGTCAGTGGCGATGGAATATGTCCCTGGTTATTTTTTTAACTAAATGGAAAAGAAAGGCTATAAGGTTTGCATTGTGCTTTATGACAGATGAGGACATGATGACCCTTCCAGAATGTCCAGATTGACCTAGACCATCTAATTTGGGACTACCTGGAACTCATTTCAGGAAGATAGAACACTCAAGAAGGCTTAATGATCCGCCCTCAAAGACTAACTGGATGAATTCAAACTCAAAGAGGGAAACATCTTTCAAATTCATTTTAAAAGCTTTCAAAAATTTTATTTAAAGCTAAAAAGCAGAAGGAGCAAGATTATAGTCAGACAAATACTGTGAAATATTTGGGGCAAGAATTAGGGTGAAGTGGGGAGGAAGAGAGGATTGCCAGATTTGTTACCTAAGGGGTATAATTATCCCCACAACATATTTCCCAAGAACTTTCCAATCTTCAAGCTTTCTGCTTCTGTGCTTTCAAAAGCCAGCCTAGATATAGTCTTCTAAGTGTGTGATGCAGAGGAAATGTGAGATGTATCACTGATTACTTTGAGTTCCCAACTGTCCTATTTTTATAGCTATCTATAGCTATGTAGTTGACAATAAACTATTTCATAAATGTCAGCCACTTCCCACAAGTTTTAAATTGCTTGCTTCCTACCTGTGGAAACACTTAAGGAAATGACTTTAATTTTTTTTTCTAAGTTAATTTTTTTTCTAAGTTAATCCCTAATTGTAGCAATCAGAGAAATGTAATTTTTATAAAACTTCTTTCAAGGAGTGACTTTAATGTGCTAATTTATTTTTTTGCTCTTACTTATTTCTTTTTTTTTGTTGTTATTTAAGTTGTTCTTTCTTTAATTCCAGTTTTTTTAACATATAGTGTAATATTAGTTTCAGGTGTACAATGTAGTGATTCAATACTTCCATATACCCGGTGCTCCTCACAGCAAGTGAACTCTTAATCCCCTTCACCTGTTGCTGCCATGCCCCCACCCTCTTCTGGTAACCATCAGTTTGTCCTCTATAGTTAAGAGTCTGTTTCTCAGTTTGCCTCTCTCTCTCTCTCTCTTTTTCCCCTTTGTTTGGTAACCTACTTATTAAACTAAAACTTTCTTAGTAGGTAGAATAACAATTTTTTTGTTTGTTTGTTTTAAACTGAGGATTAGCAGTTGACTAATCAAGCCATCTCTGCAAATCTGGAATAGAGTTGAGGTCTAGTCCCTCCTTTTTTGATAGGATACCCCTATCTGGGGCATCCCTGTTGGGGACCCTTTTTATTCCTTAATTGGTGTAACTCCAATAGGTGGAAAAGTCTGATGCTGAGAGCATTCATTTCTCAGTCACTGAATGAGGACAGACTTCTGCCAGTCAGCTACCTGAGGTAGCACTAAACTGAAGCATGCCCACTGTGATAAGCCAAAAGAATCAAGAGCTGACCTAAATGGATGGAGGCAACCAGAAAGAGCATATCGAAGAAGGTGTGTTTTGAAAAACAGGAAAAGAATTAAGTGATAGTAAGAGAGCAGAAAAGAATCTCACGAATGGGATCAAGTTATAAAGCTTTATTTCATATGAAATGAATAGAAAAATGATAGTAAGGATGTTTCACCAAATGTATCAGTTTCTAGAAAGACAAATGGAATAGTGACTTCCTATTTTGATAAATTTTCAGCTACTTTTTTGGTAACTAGTTATTGAGCAGTGACTGTTGTCAATTGTTTTTGATTTTAGTATTTAGCTGGGGAGTAGACACCTACTTATAAATTTGCAACATCTAATATATCTTTACATGCATGTGTGGAGTCTGAAGTTGCTTATCCTTTTCCCTCTCTTTTGAACATTGCTATGACTTCCACGCTTCATGTTATTCTTTTCCACAACTCTGTTAGGTTGAATATTACGCCCGTTTTCCATGAGGAAACTGAGGCTCAGAATTGTTTAGTGATTGGGGCCAATCTCACATCTAGAAACCGAACCCAGTTCTGTCTGAATGCCAAAGTACTCTTAACTGTCATACTAGCTGCCTGCCTGATTTGGGTAAAGTGATGGTGGGCCACTGCAAGCATGTTTACTTAACTAGATAATCTATTGCATGTGGTAATGAGGATTAAAGTTTTTAAATGGGTATTTAAGAAAGACAGGAAACTGCCATTACGGAACTCAGAAGTGACAAGGTGAAAACAGGGACTGCGAAAGAGAATTCCAGACCTATTTTTAAGGACAGGAATAGGAAGCAACTAGAAATGGTTTGGTTTGGTTTGGTTGGTTGGTTTTGTTTAATAAAGCACACCAGGAGCAGTCACAGCATGGTAGGGAGCAGGTCTAGGTTCATGGGCAGTAGAAGGAAGTCCCAGCTGAAGTTAAGAAGGTGAATGTGAGGGGAGAAAGTCACGGAAGAGTTAAAAAAATCATTCCCAAATTGACAAGCTTAGGAAACCGGGGATGGTAACTATATTGTATTTGATGAAAAATCTGAAATGGAGTGGTTATTTTGGGTATGGTAAGAGGATGAATTTGAAATTCAATACTCACATAATTGGGAGCTGCATTATATACTTAGAGTAAAATTCCAAGGCAGCTTCTCTGCTTAGCTCCACCCCCAATTCAAACTTTTTATGTCCCACTACAGCAAAAAGACCAAAACATTTTTACAGGAAGGAATAATTTGGAAAGACTGGGCTAAAAAGCCAACTGAACTTGGTGTTGATAGCTCAATCATGGATTTTGTTAGATCACAGGTCTGCTATCTCTAGCTGTCTTATGCAGACTGCAAAAACTATTTCCTTTCCATCAATAATATATAGGCTAGTTAAATGTCAGAGTCCCTCCCTCTTTTCTTCCTTCTCTCCCTCCCTTCCCTCTTCCCTCCCTCCTGTTTTGGTTGGGGGCAAAATTCATAGGACATGTGCTTTGGTCACTGTGGCTGGTTTCTCAAGATATTGAATGATGATTTTAGTTATATAATTGACTCCAAACAATAGAATATATTTCAATTCTGGATATATTTTATAGACTTGTCTCTTTTTTAAAAAACTTTTTTTAAAAAGTTTATTTATTTATTTATTTGACAGAGATGACACGTAGGCAGAGAGCCAGGCAGAGAGAGGGGAAAACAGGCTCCCCACTGAGCAGAGAGCCTGATGCCAGGCTTGATCCCAGGACCCTGAGATCATGACCTGAGCTGAAGGCAGAGGCTTAACCCACTGAGCCACCCAGGCGCCCCTAAATTTGTCTCTTTAACACAGATAAACATTTCCCCTTGGGCTTCATCCCATTTGTTCAAAGAATGATTTGTTCTGACTTTATATTCAATGAATGAATCACCAAAGTGTTCCAGCACATATTAGACACCATTAAATAGATGGGAAGGTTTTTACCAGTGGAGCCCGTTTTATCTAGGCAAACTTTTCCTTATTAATTCAATCCAACAAGCGTCTCAAAATCACATTTTTGTGTAAACGTGGGTGGATAGTTTCCATCATTAACTTATAAAACTTTATTCTCCTTAAAAACATTAACTTATATTTCTTCCCTAAAAAAATAAAATTGTCAGAATTTTTCACTTGAATTCCCATATTTCTTGTCTTGAAAGAAAAATCAATAACCTCTGTGCTCCCATATCTGTATTTATCACATTCTACTTTCCTCCAATTCCCTACCAAACAACAAAAACAATAGAAAAACAAACTCAAGAAATGGAAAGAAAGAGAGAAGAATGACTATAAGCCCCAAAGTCTGATTTGATTTCCTAATAATGGGAAATTATTTTAACATACTTATGGCATTATATAGGAGGACTGCATCTTTCAGAGTGTGAGCAATCAAGAGAAAAGATAAATGCATTCAATGTACTGTCTACGAAGCATTTTTTAAAAGATTTTATTTTTCAGTAATCTCTTCACCCAACGAGGGGCTCAAACCCACAAACCAAGATCAAGAGCTGCACCAAATGAGCTAGCCAGGCACCCCTGTATGCTAAACTATTTATGTGCAGTATCTCATTTAATCCTTACAATCAACCTTATGAGTAGTGTTACTATTCACACTTTACAAATGAGGAAACACTAAACTTGGTTAAATAATTTGGCTAAGGTACGAGGTACAGTTTAATTCAAACTAATCCCCAAATAAAGGCAGTGTCTGAGTTTTAAACCAACTACTGTGCAATATACTGCCTATGTTACTATACCTGTCATGTTGTATAGTCTGGGATATATGGGTAGTGTAGTAGTGTGGGTAACCCTATTTGCTAGTTTTCTGTCTTGTCACCAACTTCCTTGAGTTAGGAAGTTATATTTCCTCAGAAAATGTCAATAGTTCTTGGAGATGAGATTTTTTTCTCCCTTTGTAATAGAATCGAATCCTCTGGGTTGATGAGAACAAGCTGACAGCTCACGTGGAGGCTGGTATCCCAGGACAGGAGTTGGAAAGACAGGTAGGTTATTTCCTTTAATTAAGGCTTACAAAGCATTTCTTACTGTTTTGCTGTAAATGTTATGGCTGGTTACAGACATGCACTTGTTCAGGGATGATTCTGTACATAGAAAAGATTACCAAGCATTACACCACTGCTGTCAATTCATACTTACGGCAACTGCCTCCAGGATTTGTTTAACAGCGTCTGCAGCATCTCGTTCACTATAATACCCCTTCTCCACAATCCTAAAAAGAAAACCAGGAAATCCTTCTCAGACACATGGGTTCAGGGGAGTGGATTTTTTTTTTAAAGAAGTTAACCGAATTAATGTTAAGGAAGATACATCTGAACAATTGCAACATGTCAGCATAACACATGTCAGCATAACATAATAATATGGAAATATTTCCATAAACTGATACTCTAGCAATCTTGGGTCTCTTTAGGAAAAAGAAACACATTTATTTTGCCTAGGCTTGAACTGTCCATCCTGTCTGAGGACAAGAGAAAAAAAATCTTTTTAAACTCTGTATTGAGAATCGTGTTAAATATATACCAAGTAGACAACACACCATGAAACATCCCTTGTAATTTTTACACAGCTTCAGTGATTATTAACTCATGGCCAGTGTTGTTTTATCTATCCAATCAATTATTTCCCATCCTCTTTTTTTGATCATAAAGCAAATATTTGGCATCACATAATTTCATTCATAAGTAAGGTGTTGTCTCTAAAAGTATAAAGGACTTTTTAAGACTCATAACTATAATGCCATTATCATACCTATAAATTATAATTCCTTAATATTTTCAAATATACAGTGTTTCAGATTTCCAAGTGTCTTGGACATGTTGAAATTTGCTTGTTTCAATACATATCCAAATAAGGTCCATATAATTTGACTAGTACTTCTTTCTCTTATCTTCCTTTTACCTGGAGCTCCTTGCTTCTCCCTCCTTCCCCCATCCCTCTCCTCTTTCTCCAGCTGGCTTTCTTTCTTTTTTTTTTTTTTTTTTAAGATTTTATTTATTCATTTGACAGGCAGAATTCACAAGTAGCAGAGAGGCAAGCAGAGAGAGAGGGGGAAGTAGGCTGCCCACTGAGCGGAGAGCCCAATGTGGGGCTTGATCCCAGGACCCTGGGATCATGACCTGAGCCGAAGGCAGAGGCTTTAACCCACTGAGCCACCCAGGTGCCCCTCTCCAGCTGGCTTTCTATTCTAAATAAATGACTTGCTCTTTTTGCATGGATCTGGACAAGGAAAGTTTCTTTTCCTTTAAGGAATCTTTCTTTTAACTTAAATCTTTTCCATTTTAATTCCGGGAATGTTTTCCTGAATTAGAATGCTTTGTATGTGTTTTCTTCCATCACTTTGGTTTTTTTTTTGGGGTGTGCAATTATATGTATCGTGAGTTTTTCTACTTTTGATTTATATTGTTCTTCTATGAATTTCTTAATTTTAGTATTAACTAATGTTAACTTTAATTTTCTGTAGATCATGTTACACTTTTATCTGTTTTGTGGGCATATCATCCTGACATGCTGATTTTCTATGCTCTTATAATCATTTTTATTGCAATTAATGGAGACACCTGTCTGTTGTTGCTTATTTTTAAGCAAAGTTGGTTTTCTTAACCATTTTGATAGAGTGATGGGTCAGGCTATCTTTTCTAGTTTCATGGCCCTTGACTGATTGTTTTCATGAAGCATTCAAAATTATGACCTCATACTTTCTGAGATCTCTTCTCTTCTATCTGAAACTTCATTCCCTTGCCTCTACACATCTCTGCTCTGGTTATTGGAGTCTCTTTTCAGCAGTTTCTCCTAATGTACACAAGGCGGCTTCAGATATTAGTTTCAGGAGTTCATAGGGCCTTAACTGCATTAGTTTCTTCAGACCTTATTGTGGGTGCAGCCCTTGTGCTTCTCAGAAATTTGGATGGCAAAAAGCTCTCACAATTTCAGCTGTTCTTATATTGGCCCATTCTGCTTCCCAATGATTTGGAGGCTTTGGAGATTTGAGTGTTCTCCTATTCTTAGGTTCATCAGTGTCTTCTTGCATCCTCTGACATAGATGCTAATACCATGAAGCTCTTGCAATCATTATTAGTTTGTCCTCATTCACATGTTTTCTAGGCTTCATGGGGAAGCCTTGTCACCTGGTTTTGTTATAGATATTGTCTATAAGTTTTTGTTTTTTCTGTCCTATATAGGACTTCAGAAGACTGGAAAACCACACTGTTGCTGTTTCTTTCCTCCCAAAATTTCAAGAGAAAACACATTTTTGATAACACCAAAGATTACCAACTTGCATAAGATGTTTTCAGCTGACAAAAGGTTTATTGTGAAAAGTCTGACAAAGGTCAATTCAAAACATGTAAGAGTCAAACTTGAACATTTTTTATAGCTTTGCACTGAAATTTTTTAGAGTGTTAATATCTTAAATAGCACATTTATTTTTTAGAAATTATCTTCCATTCTTTTTTTTTAATGTTATGGTAAGAAGTTATAAGTTCTTGAAGTAGTTGGTATTAGAAGCTGGAATTAAAAATCTATAGAATCTTTCCAAAATAGGGGATGGATGATGAGGAAAAGCAGAAAAAAACAGATATAAAATAATATATAAGAAGATACCTTAACAACCATAATAATCAAGATTCAAAAAAATTATATCGATGCAAAAATTTCAATTTTTTCCATTCAATTATTCAGAACATTGTCAAGAAACACCAACTCATTATCTTTTCAAAATATGAAAGATGGAATATCCTTCCTCACCTTTTTATTTATTGAATACTTGTTATGAACCACATTTCAAATAAAATGTGAAAGTAGGTCACAGTATTCAGGGAATCATTATTAATTAGTTTTTGAAAATCAGTTTTCATACAATGTTTCAAGATTACAAATTCTTCCAATTCATGATCAAGTTGAGGACTTACTAAACATTTAATTAAAATAAATTACTTGTACTATACTTTCTGAACATTTTAAAATTAAGCATGAGAGAAGAGGAAAAGAAGGACTACTGTGTCAGGGTAGGTTGAGAACTTTGGCTACAACTACATCGTCTTCTGCATTTTGTTCTAAGTGTGGATTTTGCAGTACATCCATCAACCAACTCAAATGTAATTAATGTCTCCTTTGTGTGTGGCACCTGCACTCTGAGCAGCTTGGCTTTCCCCAGTCCTTTTAAAGGAGGGGAGTTGTTAGAAAAATGATGGGAAGGAATGGCCAATAGTTAACTTTCTTTCCACCTCCCATTCTCCCCAGAAGAGGATAAAATCAGTTACTTCTGGCCTGCAAAAAACAGTGTGGATTTTCCCCATGGCCACTCACCAAGGCTAGAGTTTTATTACAACTGCTTTGTGGTGCCCCTCTAGGGGTGCTCCTCATGGCTTAGTCTACATAAGCACTACTCCTTGGGGTTGTACAGAGCCAACTTGCACAACCACGTGCAGCATCTCTGATGAGAAATCCTCCTTGTCTGTTAAATACAGGGGTTCTTATGAACATCCCTACCTCTTAGAGGGGCAGTGCACACACTAGAGATTCCTCCTTATATTCTGATTTATTATGATTTCTCAAGCTTTGGCTTAAATATGATGTTTATGCATTTTCATTTGGGTATATCTTAGAGTTAAGTGCTTATGTTCAGAATGTGACCTTATGTGTATGTCTAGGGACTGGCTGGGTAAAGGGGTGAATTTTGGGGGGACCTATTTTTAGGTGGGATAGAGGGAAGAGTAGTAGGTGTAAGAATGGTTAATGGAAATCTCACTAATTTTCCACAATATAAGTTAAGTTAGTAAAATATTTCATCTAGCTAATAAAAAGGATACATTCTAACAGATATGTCCATTCATTCATCTATTTAGTAAATATTATGGAATGACTGTTACATGCTGGGCATTTAGAAATGAACCAGACACAGCCTCTGCACTTACGGGGTTTCTCTTGGTATAAGCAGACAGACAACAATTGACATACTGTGTTGAATGCTGTGGCAGAGATATTAGAAAATGACCTGAGAGCTTGTAGAGAGGGCCAGTGATCTATTCTGGAGGCTGTGCAGGGTGGGAAAAGGATTCCAGAGGTAGCTATATCTCAGCTCAGACCTCAAGGGTATATCAAATTTTTCTAGTTGCAGAAAGGGTAGGGGCTGGGAGTGGGATAGATGTGGAAGAGTAGAGACTGGAGAGGAAGGAGATTGTTCTAAGAAAAAGGACCAACACTATAGTGAGAATTAGAGACAGCGAAGGGCATAGTCATAACCAATATTTCTGTGAGCCAGCTATTGGCTGAATCGGTAAAGAATAAGATTTGTGGGGCGCCTGCGCGGCTCAGTTGGTTAAGTGTCTGCCTGAGGCTCAGGTCATGATCCCAGAGTCCTGGGATCAAGTCCTGCCTTGGGCTCCCTGCTCAGTGGGGAGCCTGCTTCTCCCTCTGCCTGCTGCTCCCCCTGCTTGTGCTCTCTCTCTTTCTGACAAATAAATAAATAAAATCTTTTTTTAAAAAGTTTAAAAATTCTAAGATTTGGGTCCTGCCCCAGATGAGACTACAGACAGTACAAAAGTTATTAACAAAAACATCACCATAGATGTAATACATGTTATACTAAGGTTTGTACAGCCAAAGGATTTATAAATTCTGTTGTCAGAAATGTGTCTAGAGTAGATATATGGGACAGGAGTACAGAATGCAGGTGTCTTCCCCCCAATCCCCATGAACTCAGCTTGCCACAACATGGCCCTACTTTTAGAACTTAACCACACCTCTTCTAGGCTCCTGCTCAAAGGAATTTTTGTTCCCAGTTGATATGTTCATCAGAGTGTTACAGAGTTAGGTTGCTGGAACCCGGATATTCAACTTTAAGTATTCTACCAGTTGAGCTGCCACCTAGGCCATTTATGGCTGACTAGAAAGGTCAGTCAATAACAGAGAACTTCTCAAGTTGCAAATGCAGGTTTATAATCTACAGCTAAGACTGCAAGTGAAGACATTAGTGATCAAGCAAAGGAAAATGAAGTCTTGCAATCTTTTTCATGTGGGCATGACTATAGTATGTGTGTTTGGCCAATGCCTTCTGCAGGTTATTGTGGGAAAATTCTTAGCCTTCTCACTAGATTGTTGTTTCCATCACCCATAGGACCTAGCTCCAAGCCTTGCTCATAGTAGGCAGTCAGTAAATATTTGTAGAATCAATACTAACTGCCAACTGAGTAGGTGCCAGAGAAATTTCAG